AGTGGGGAAACACTAGTCTCTAAAGAGAGAGAGAGAGAGAGAGAGAGAGAGAGAGAGAGAGAGAGAGAGAGAGTTCCTGCTGAAGTTGATCTGCTGCTGCCCTTGCTGATGTACAGACCAATCCAATTAGGTTTCACCTCTAAGCTGTGATGCATCTCGTGCTTCAGACGATCCATTCCGTCCACAAGCACACACACAAACACATACAGTACACACACACACACACACACACACACACACACACGCGCGCGCGCGCGCGCGCTCAGTGTCACTCTTCTGCAGCTCCACACACAGTGCGCGCGCGCCCTCCGCTTTTACGCGTCCGACATCTGCAGACATCCCGACTCACCGTATCAAGCCATCGATGGAGGCTGCGCTCTTAGCGAGACAAGGGGAGCTCTTTTAGTCACTGAGATTTCCCGGTGTTCTATGCGATCTCCTCACCCCTTTCATGTTGAACAAAATGTGGAACACATGTCCGGCCATAACTGAAGCCTCCGCTGAGAGCTAGGAATCTTAAAGGAAACCCACAGGCGTCTTTTCTCCCGTTTGCGCGCACAGCGGTTAGTATATGCAAACGGTGGTTTACTTCAGGAAGGTAAGAAATATAGTTTGTTGCATAAACATTGTTATGGCAAGTTGTGATGCCTGGACGTCACTTGTTTGAGTGGAGCAGCTGAGATGAAGTGAAAGGAGATTTGTTTTTCAGAACAGGATCATTGTTTAATAGCAAGGCTACAAAGTTAAAAGCAATGCAACGCATACAGTAGAACGGTTTTAATAGACGCTGATGCGTTTGACAGCTCTTAATGTGAGAAACGCAGTGGTCCAGATGGACACACAAGTTGTAAACGAAGATATTTTGGGGGATTTATGTTACTTTATTGCTTTGGTATATTGACTTCTAAAAGAAAATAAGATAGTTTAATGTTTGTGGATGATTACTGGAGAGAAAGAGAATGTTTGGGTTACAGAACTGTTGCATCTTTGCAGTTTTCTCTCTTTTAAGCGCATGTGGTACTAAATACAAATTGTGTAACCTTTTAATCTAAAATATTTCTAAATTAACCTGAGTCATTTTTTCACTATGATAGAATCAACTTGACTACATCAATGATCATTTTTAAGGTATGGGGTAGAAAACAAGCATTAAATATTGCAGTTTTTAGTACTGTTAATGTCAGAAAATGTGAATAAGTTGGTTAAATTTGTGCATAAAATAAAGAGTTTCTGAAGCTGCTGCTTTGTTTTTATTTGTTTAAAAAAGAAAAAGGAGATTTGCATGTTCTGACATCCTTCATACCATGAAATGATAGAAGGCCAATGATGAATATTGAATGTGGCAATCAGATATTGCTTGTGTTAATTACTAATTCTATTTAGCTTTAACAAGATGTGCCACTATTCTCTTAGCTTAGGCTTTGGTTTAGTATACCAGAGCTTAAGTTTCTTCTTTACATACAGGGCACGCTTGGCTGGTGATATGTAAATCAGTTCTAATGCTGGCATTTAGTTGTGCTTCCAGATGTACTTTGCAAAACACTTACAGAACAATCTGACATATTCCTAATGGCTCTCAGAGGAGGGACTTTTCCTAAATAATTATGAGCTGGAATATTTTCTACTGCATAGAAAAAAAAATTATTTCAAGGTGGAAACAACAGGTGTCTGTCTTTCTTCACAGCCATGGAGGGACTCGTCTAAGGAGGACCCAACATAGTCATCTTTTTCCAGTTATCTTCTGGTTGATTTTCATCTTTAAACCTCTTCCTGGCAAGAGCGGCCCGTCTCCTTGCACACAATGGCAGAGAAGACCGAACTTGAGGTTCCGAAACCTGGAGGCAGATCTGCGACTTCGCTTCCGCCCGAGCCGATCGAGATCATCCGGACCAAGGCCCGGTCCAGGAGGGTCCGTCTCAACGTCGGGGGCCTCAACCATGAGGTCTTATGGCGGACCTTGGACCGGCTTCCCAGAACCAGATTAGGCAAGCTCAGAGACTGTAACACCCACGAGTCTCTAATGGAGGTCTGCGTTTTTTATTTCAAGGTGGAAACAACAGGTGTCTGTCTTTCTTCACAGCCATGGAGGGACTCGTCTAAGGAGGACCCAACATAGTCATCTTTTTCCAGTTATCTTCTGGTTGATTTTCATCTTTAAACCTCTTCCTGGCAAGAGCGGCCCGTCTCCTTGCACACAATGGCAGAGAAGACCGAACTTGAGGTTCCGAAACCTGGAGGCAGATCTGCGACTTCGCTTCCGCCCGAGCCGATCGAGATCATCCGGACCAAGGCCCGGTCCAGGAGGGTCCGTCTCAACGTCGGGGGCCTCAACCATGAGGTCTTATGGCGGACCTTGGACCGGCTTCCCAGAACCAGATTAGGCAAGCTCAGAGACTGTAACACCCACGAGTCTCTAATGGAGGTCTGCGATGACTACTGCCTGAATGAGAATGAGTACTTCTTTGACAGACACCCTGGCGCGTTCACGTCCATCTTGAATTTTTACAGAACTGGAAAGCTGCACATGATGGAGGAAATGTGCGCTCTGTCTTTTGGACAAGAGCTTGATTTCTGGGGCATCGACGAAATCTACCTGGAGTCGTGCTGCCAGGCTCGCTACCATCAGAAGAAAGAGCAGATGAACGAGGAGCTGAGGAGAGAGGCAGAGACTCTGAGAGAGAGGGAAGGAGAAGGGGAATTTGATAACACCTGCTGCCCAGACAAGAGGAAGAAACTTTGGGATCTTTTGGAGAAGCCAAGTTCATCAGTTGCTGCTAAGGTAAGATGCCGTGATACACAACATGACACAACGTCACTTCTGGGCCTCCAGGGGTTTTTGGCAGTTCGCCAATAACCATTTTCATGTAACAACACAAGCCCTTACTTATTAATGATGAGGTACAGTTCAACCTCAGTGTGTGTTCTGTTTTATCAGTACATTTGGTTGTTTCAGAGTAGCTCTGTTCCAAAACCTAGTGAGCTACAGGTTCATCGCTTCTGAGACAGCATCCTAACTGTTAGAAAATCTCATAAATGATCGATTTGGAACACTCTAAATTGGCTGTATCGCACAGGAGATTCAGCTATTGAGTTTGATGTTAGCATGTTGCTAAGCTAGTACAATACTCTAAATACAGCCTTCTTTTTTTCTGTTCCAAAACCTAGTAACTATTTCATTCACTACAGCTACCTTTTGAGAATGGAACCTCATTAGTGATCAGAATTTCATAGGCAGGTCCCAAACAAGAGTTTTGGAACAGAACATTTGTGTCTGGTAGGGCTGTGCAAAAAATCGAATGCGATTTTCATGCGCATCTCGTCAGTAAAGCCGCTTCTGGTGATTAGTAGTAAATCTCCAGCACGTGCTTTCAGATGGAGCGGCATTTACTACACAGAGCCGTAGATCACTGACAAGCTGCCCAGCCCTAGTGTCTGGATATTATTATTATATTGTTTCAGTGGTAACAGAAAGATCTAAACTGATCATATTTATGCCTACTGCAAAACTGCTGTGCAAACATGTTGTTTGGCAAATTGGGTGTAATACTAATTTCAGTAGCAGGGAAATAACTTTTTTGTAAGTGTAATGTACAGTGGATGCAAAAAAGGGATACGTTTTGATGCTGCAAAGGTTTTGGTCTGTGGTTGAAGAGGTTGTTTTGCTGTTACAGATCACAGACAGTTGGCACCAGTTAGCAGTTAGCTGTCGTATGCAATGTGTGCAAGAGCAGCTCTGCTCGTTGAGTCAGAGTGACCATGTATGTCATTGTCACTTTAAAACTTATGAATATAATCATGCATAAAATGCATGGGATTTAGTGCTTGCTGAATTTTTGAATGCTATTGTTGTATATGTAAAGAAGGCCATATTCCTTTCATCTCACACGATGCTACATCTATCCAATTACATTAATTTAATCATTCATTGTAAACAATGCAAAGATAACTCATTGGTGTATGTCCCGTGTAGCTTCTAATGTGTGCCTGTATCTATGGGAGTACAGTGCACTCTAAGTCATCCATTGGCTGGGGGAATGCAGATGAAATTAAAAAATGGAAAAAGAGATGATTGACACATTCTTTAGGGGGTCAGACAAAAGGTAGAGTCGCATGAGACCAGTGTGTTTAGAGAAATTGATGGACTGGATTGAGAGAGAGAAAAACTGTGGTAAACTAAGTGAAACCCCAGCATGCATCACCTCCTGAATCAGTTCTTTTGAAACATCGGCCATGAATAATAAATGTAATAGTCAGTTCACACACAGGCACAGATTCACATTCACACAAACACACACACATAGAGCTTGATGTAATGTTGTGGTTCTGCCTAACAGAGGCAACATTTACAGAGGAGAGAGAATCATTTGGGAGAGTTGCACCTTGACGTTATGCGCCTATAAATAGGCAGCCAGCTAATGCAACAGTAGCCTTAGGTGAGGGTACAACATTTTCACTCACCAAGGGGATTGTACCAAAGGATGAAAGATATAGGAAGCCGAGAAGGACTGGTAAAAAGAAAACAAGATGCGTTAATCCAAACGAAAGTCATTCATCTTCATAATGAATCTCTCATTGCGTGTTTCGTTGTGAAAGCGAAACTACTTTGCTTGGCCTTGCAAAAGAGGACGATATCCACTTCATCATGCCTGGAGCTGATCCGTGCTGGTCGCTGAGGAAATACATCAACTTCGCACTGTGGA